AATCCCCGGTGACATGAGCGAGGATGGCTTGTGTGACGAGCCATCAACTGTGTTATCAAAATGTCATAAGAATGTTAAATATGTCAAACATCAGAAATTGGTATGACACGAATAAACTGCAAAGGGGATGTGCCACATTCTTCATTGCAGCCCCACCTTTAGAGCCCAAGTGTCGAGTTGTGTGCGTGAAGGACAAAGTTGACTGGCATTTGCCCATCACTGTGGAGTGCTCCGATACATAAGTTGATTGACTGACATAGCTGAGCATGCGTGAATTCGCCTGGACAACTGAGAGTATTGGTCCCACTGTGCGGGCTTCCACATTGTGTCCCACTGTGGGAGGTACCTTTGGGAGGCTCAGAGTGAACGACCTTTGGCCAGAGGCCGTGCTGGAGTTCTTCCAAAGCACCTCGAAGAGTTGTAAAGAAAGTGAGGGATGGCAAAAAGTTGCTGATTGAAAAATATTCTAAAACCGCTGAGAGTGCTCCTTTCTGAGAAAGAAATGAAGCAGATGCTAAGGTTTGTACTGTATTTGAGTACTTCCAGTAAAAAGAAGCGCTTTGCCCACACCTCTTCTTCCAAGAAGGTTTGGAAATGATGACTTTAAGATGCAACTGGGGAAGACATTTGGGCCAGGCCCGGAAGAATGCTGCTTTGTGCTGGTACCTGGGCTGCAATGGGTTACAAAGAGAATTGCTTGAATCGTTCCGTTGCTTGGGCCTGGTCCTGTGGTAATGCTATGCCAATGATGCCATGATGCCATACATCTATAATCATCCCTATATATATATATATAACTAGGGCAGATCGACTGTCCATTATTGCAGCGACGTTTCTGCTGCGAATTGTTCGTGGTGTCGGGGTGTCCCCTCCATGCGAATCGTTTATGGCTAGCCTTTTGAAGCAGAAATGATCCGTGGCTTGGGCCTCAGGCCAAAGGCTTCGACGAGAGCCTTTGGGAGACTGAAATGGCTCGACTTGATCTGCATCGAGACCAAATGAAGGCGCTTTTGGCATGGGACACGGGAGCAATTGGACAACTTCTGTTCCCAAACCAACCTTAGTTAGAGTTGGGAACAGCCGACAGGTCACATCAACGTGGGTTGAATTACATTGTGTTGATACCCAACATGGGGCTTGTATTTGGGCCCGACCACTAAATCCCAAACAAGAATCAACAATTGCAATTCCCAATGTATTTTTCATTGATCAAGACACAAAAAATCAAAACGTTGTAAGGCATTGAGAAAACAAGGCAACTTGAAACAAACACACAAATGTGAAGAAAGCCAACCATGTTCAGAAGTTCTTCCACTTCAGGTCAGCCGTCCCCCAGAGTCCAGGAGACATGTTGTGTTTCAGTAGTTATCGATGTGTCTTTTGATTCTTGACTCCTTGACTTTGTTCAACATCTTTTTGTTGTCCACATTTTGCTATGGCCTTTGTTTCGATGTTTGCTTTCAGATGTTCTTCGCTGGTTTGCAACCTGTTCACAACCTGTTCCCATACAAACATTCAATCTTATCCGGAAGCCCCCCCCCCCTTACATGTGTCTTCCGGTCTCAGTCAAAGAGCGCCTTCTCCTTCATGAGAGCTTTTTGCTTCACATGGTTAAGATGTGTTTTTTCTCTATCCAAATCTCCTCCATTCATGAAAGGTATTCTCCTTCAAAAAGGTCACATTTGTCTCAAGACCACTCTTTAAAAAAGATTCCGCCTTTATGAAGAGTTCCTTGAACGTTGTGCTTAAATTAATTTTCCTTTGTGAAAAGAACTCTTCTTGAACCCATGTCGACAAAAGCCAACCCATTTTGGTATGAGACTAAGCTTTTAACGGTCAATCTTCAGCCGAATTCTCTTTCATAAAGATGTGTGTGTGTGTCTTTATAAAGGCCTGCCTTCTTTGTCTAAATGCTTAGCTGCAAACAATTGTTTGATAGAATCGATGCCTCCATGCCTGCACATATTATCTTTGCAGAATCCTTCTCTATCTATCGTACCCTCCTTTTGTGCACAGCTCTCCTCCTTATTGAGTTTTCTTGTGAAGCGCTCTATTCTGCAGGAAAGGCTCCTCCTTTCTGGAGATCGCAACTGTGGGAGCGTTCTTGTTTAAGAAATCTATACTGTGTAAATGTAGAAGTAAGTGTAACACCTATGAGACTAAGAAGAGTTGAAGAAAGACGAGTGACGAGGACAAGATTACATCGTGTCTTAAATCAGTTGTAATTTCAGCAAGGAAGAATCATGAAAAATCTAAATAAAGAAGGAGAGAAGCTGGCTAAGTTAGGCTAAGAATAGTAAGAACAAAAATCGAGCCAAGAAGGAGAATTCAACGGTGTTCAAGTAGGGGAGTACCTGTTCAAAGAGCTCTAGATGTCAAACGGCACTTTTTTTTATTGCGAGGATAGAGGCCAATCAATCCATCCTGCCTAGGTCCTCGTATTCTGCAGTAAAGCATCAGTTTCCCTGCATTCCAAGGAGTGCAATATCCAAAAAGATCTGGGCAAAAATGCAAAAAAACGGGAACGCCTTGTGAAGAAGGAAAAAGATGCGAGCAAAAACAGTAACAACGAGATGAGAAATGGTGCTAACATGTGCCAACCCTCAATCAGGCAATGAAACCCATGACCCTAAATCTTAGGTACCAAAAGCAATAAAATGTAGGCCCCATGCGGCCGGCTGTCTCTTCAAATCTGTCATCGTTTAAAAGGAGCGAAATGGGGCTTCTGGGGGACTCTGTTCTTGAGGGTTGGCTTGACAAGGGTATGCCAGTATTGGAGTGCGACTCGAAGAATCAAATATCGAGCATCGAGAATTCAAGAGCTTCCTAACCAGAATCTTATCTAAAACAGCTTGGGGCCAATCTTAAGGCACCTGCTTTGGCCAAAGCCCAGTTGCTGTGGCCTGTTGTGATTTGGTCAGCTTTCGTTGACGAGGCCTTGGGACTTTTTGCTCGAGTGCGCGTGGTTCGTTCGGAGCTGAGGCTTTAGCCGATGAACGAAGTGGCATTCCAGCGGTGTCAAAACCAGTACAGCAGTCTAGTGTGTCTTCAAAATTATCCAAATGGGCGAACTTCTCCAGTAGTCTCGCGGAGTTCACCCCAGAGTTCAGGGCGACACCTTTTTTGTTTCTCCTTCGGGACTCATCGCTTGCACACACCTGCGCTACTGCGCGGGAGTCCAGTTCCCATCAAGGTGAGGGCGGCCCGGAAGGCATGCAATTGCTATCAAGCCCTTCCCGTCCGCTACGACTCTATGCCTGGCGGGCATGCTTTGGAGTATTGGATGCCAAAGCCATGACAAAACATCTGTCAGGGGATGTGGACATGATAAAACCACCAAGTTTGATTCATGTGTGGGCAGGGCATGATGAAATTGGTGCTGCGAAAGGGGAAGCAAATGGGTGCATTGCTCCATATTGCTCCTTCTATTTCCATGCATGCATGATCTTGGCTGGTGCTAACCTCACTGAGACAAAGACAATCAAAGACATATGTGACTCACTGATGGGAGCCTTCGGATCTTTACACTGAGGCAAGAGAGTGGCTGTAGGGGGTATATGATGGTATATGGGTGTTTACTGCAGATGCCAAGTTTCCCATCAGCAGTCTTCGCTCATATTGACAATAATTCTTTCCACTGCACTCACAATCTCTCTTTAGCGGGTTGGCGGAATGAGTCTGATTGTCGGCCAGATGCCTCCAGTCGATGACCTCAAGGTGGCCGACGCCTTAGCAACAAGCTCAACATGAGATGGATGCGATGGAAAACTGAAACGGGTCCAAAGCGAGTTGAGATCACTTTGAGTGTGGTTTGCATATGTTTGCATGCTTGTTTGCAATTCTTTGTACCAAGTGTTTGAAGAAACTCCGAGCGGCGTGCGAGAGGGCCCGGCTAGCGAGCTTGCAGCCAATTTAAGACATCACTTTGGGGGGGGCTTTACATCACCGAAGCCAGAACCTCTACCTTAGTTGCTGTGTTTCAATCTCAATTGCAAGCTTTTGGGCATTCAGCGAGCCGCCAGAAAAACCGAAAATGTCAAGGCATCTCTTCCACTGCGTTGGGTGGGTTGGACGTAGCCTGTAGGTTCTGCGTCAGGTCTAGAGTCTAGATCGAGGCTCCAGACTCCAAACCCTGGCATTTTGAGGACTTCAAGACCAGATCTGCGGAATCATGAGTTCACATGCCGGAGGTTTGTTGATGTTTGTTGGTATGTTCAATGGAATGGTCGTTTTTATGGAGCCTGGTTTCTGCTTGACTGACTCTGTTTGACACTGCCCAGACTGTTTGGAGCACCAACGGCCGCTTTTGTGCCTTGCTTTGGTGGCCCAGCATCGTTGCTGCTTGCCGGGCCTCTTAGAAGTTGACTCCGTACAGCAACACCCTTGAAGAGAGCACCCAATTGTCTTGCATGTGTTCGATTCTCCCAGGACTTCTCTTCATGCTCTCGTTTCTTGATACAGTACTTATATAACGTGTGGTTCCTTCTTGCTCAGGTGCAGAAATTGACAAGAATCTCGACATGTCCGGGCAGCTCCACCAGGCTGCAGTGTATTGATTTTGAAGCTTGCATGCACTGCTTGCTGTTTGATGTTGTCCCAGCCTGGGCAGCGTAGAAGGCACTTACGCAACCAATAGAAATCAGCGTTCTCACTGTTGAGCACACCGGACTGGTTTGTGGAGTGCCGACTGTTTTATCGCACTATCGTTGCTCAGAGGCGTGAACAATGCATCAAACACATTTCCCTACGCAAACAAAAACCGACGGTGTCAAGTTGAGCACTTGGTGAATCGTAAACTCCAAGATTTAGACAAAACCCACGGCTATTTGTGAACGTAATGATTTATGAGGCTTCGTACAAGTGCAGCCAAGATGTTCATTTGATCTGTTTTCGCAGCCTCAATAGAAGTCTTGGGCCTTGACCTGATCAGCCCGAAAGAACCTGGATGATCAGAACACCAAAACCGTTGAGTTGCAACGTAATTACAACATGGGTTGAAAGCCGTTGAATTTGCTTCTCTCATGGGTTGAAGCCATGGGGAGCGGTGCATCAACCGCGGATCCGAAGAAGCGGATCGAAGAGGTTGAGAAGCATTGCGCAGGAAAGAAGATAGGCGAGAGGACAAAAAAACAATTTTTCTTTATTTGTATTTTATTCAGCCCGCTCCCCCCTCCCTACTTAAATATATAAATAGTCGCCTACTTAATTAAGTATATAAGGGACTAGTAAGCTACAAGCTACTAATACGCCACTAGCATGGACGCAGGATAGCTCACACTTCTTCAAGGAAGCTCCCCCCGCCTGAGGGAATGGGGGAGATTCCTTGAAGAAGCGCTCGCACCAATGATTTGGTTCCTGGATTCTTAGGGAAACTTAACTTACAGCAGGCACCAACTCAAGGGGCTGTTTAAACTTGTTCTTTACGGATACTGCGTGAACATGGGCAGACTACGAATGCTCACTATAAAAATATATATATATACACCAGTTGCCAATGGGCAACAATTCTTTTTTTGCCATCCAAAGCTTTTTAGAAGCTAGACGCTGAAGACCAGAGCCATGGGCTTCTGGTCTTTAAACTGTCCATGTCGCAAAACCGGTTCAGGGAGTGGCAAAGATGGTTTAGACGAGATGAAGCAATGCTCTGAGGAGACGCACGCTGTCTTTCCATATCACTGCATAGCTCACACTTGCACTTTTTCTTAGCTCACGTTGAAGAAAGAAGGACAGTTGTCATGATCAACAACGGGGGTGTACGCAATGCAGAGCTATGATTGCGTACGAAACTGTTGTTGAGATGTGTTCCGCCATGCAAATGGCAGAAATCAAATTCCTGAAGAGCAAAGAGTAATTAGAATGGAATTCAGTGAGATCTGTTGAAAGACCGCTGCATGGTTCCCCATGCAGGAGACGAAAGTCCAGCGATCCCCTGAAATCGGCAAGAAAGTCCAGCTATGTGCAATCTCCTCACCAATGACTGATTACATTACCGAAGAATCCCCCGCTACAAATTTGGTTGCTGGGAGTTTGAAAGGTCAATAAAAAGCTATGCGGAAAACATCAACGTCTTGTAGGAGCTGAAGGTTGCAATGGACGCGGTTGCAGAGATGAGCAGCCCAGATCTGCAGCTCATCGACCGAATTGGCTTGGCCAGTGCAGCTTGGACAGCATCCATGTTGTAAAGTGTTTGCATGCACACAAGGTGTTCGATCTCTTTGGGATGTATTCGGCTTGGTGTTGCATGACCAATGACTAATGATTCGTACTTGTATCTGTATGAGCATGAGATTTCCTAGCTAGCAGTGGCGGATGATAATCCTGTGTCCAGTTGATGTCAATCCAAGAGAGACTGCAACCAGGGGGTCCCTTACTAGCCCTAGCATCAACAATATAAATGTGGAACCTTTGGGTTGGCAAGGTGAGACAGGTGGCGCGAAAATCCAATGTTGGCTGAGTGGCTGAGTCAGCCGTTCTTTTTTGGTTGAGGACATAATTTTCTCCAATCTTGACAGCAGAATCAATCTGGAGCTCGTGCAGCTTGAGGATGCCTCAGAGATCTACAAGGAGAGATGCATGTGTAATGTGTGTATGAGTCATTGTTTTCTGTGGTCACCTACATTCACCTACTTCGAATCAATGTGCCACAAAAGCGAAAAGCTCGCGGTCAGTGATAGGGAGACAAATGCCAATTTCCATCCATAAGGCTCATGTTTCATTTTTTACACTCAAGAAGCACATGCGTTCATTCCAAGTGGGTTTCCATTGTCTTTGTTTGGTACACCTATTTCCGATCGGGCCCTTAAGGTGATGATAGAAACGGCCGAGAACTTGGACAAGTGCCGCGCAAGCCCGATCGCACCGAAGATCAAATCCAAATGGAAGGAGGCTGAGCAAGGGAAATACGCTCCTTGGCCAAGTGTGCACCTAGGTCTAAAAGATGTGGTTTGCGGTGGCCGAGGCAATTCTGGTTCGAGACTTGGCCGAGCTGGTGAAAGGAGTCAGTGACATTGCCAAGTTGCCGGAGGCGCAACTGGCGAAATGTCTCAGAATTTGTCCTCCACAACTCAGCAGTGCATGGTTTACCAAGTCGACATGGAGTGCCATGGAGTGCCTATGAAACCATTCTAAAGAGCCATAAAGAGCCTCAAGCAACAAGTGAGCATGACACCAAGTTCAGGTGACCTTGGCCCTGACCGCTAAAGACGATACCAAGCATCATGGTCAAAGTCTAGACAGCACAAGGGGACAAACCGCGGCTGAAAAAAGCTTGGACAATTTGGGAGCATGTTGGACAAGGTCAAGACAAGACTGAAGGCTTGCGCCGCTGCGCAGGGATGCTCCCAGTGTATCGGCCCTAGTAGTTAGCCAAAGAAACTGCTGAATTGAGATCTCGACTGATTTCAACCGATTTCTTGGATAAACCGCGAACAGGAACAGTTGTAAGCTTTTCATGATTTTTCATGGCTCCTGAATCATGCACATCCGACCTTTTGGAGGCCCTTGATGGCGTGGTTCAGAAGATGGACGCCAATGCCTCAGCTAGAGAGCTTTTGCCAAGAAATGGGGAAGTGTTGCATATACGGCCACCTCCAAAGAAATGTTGGATTCGAAATCCAGTCGTTTTCTGTGATGAGACCTTCCCAGCTTTCAGGCAAGTTCCACAAATATATAGAGACCAAAGTATCGCAGTCACCTTTTTTGAACCACTCGAGCCGCACAATGCGCATTCTTTTCTCCCTGTCAGGCACTGTTGGTAGGGGTCTCGAAAGATCTGGCGGAAAAGGCTTTGGTACAGTGCTCTGGTTTTTCCACCGCAAAGTTTCAGAAGCTTGGCTTACAGTGCAGAGATTCCTCTTAGATCCTGTTAGATTGTTTGTTTGATTGTTGCTTTGAGCACACTCACTCACAGTTGAGGGGCAAGCCAAGGCTGCATGTTCTTTCCTCAACTCTTCAGCATCGACTAATTGACATTGTTGCCTTATAATTACTATACATGTCCATCATTCCCCATGTTTCATTGACTATAGTATAATTCCGAGGATGGTGTAATCAGAATTTGCATGTTGAGTCTTTGTTCCTCGAGCAAGTTTAAAACTCGGGCATCATTTCAAGTTCGAGCTGGCATAAGCTAGCATCAACCAGGCCATAAAAGGACGCGTTGTTTAATTTGATATAAACCTTTTCGGACATGAACCGTCAACTTGATCTCTGAGGAAAGGCTTCCCGGGACTCTTGCAAAAAGAGGGGCCCGAGCTCCTCGAGCAAGTGACACTTGGACGGACTCAGCGTCCACGGAGACAGGGCTCGTTTAGTTTGTGTCAGAGTTCATTTATGTAGATTGTTAATGAATAGTATAGATTTAGATCGAATAAAGTCCGATTCAGAAACCAAAAATCCGCGATTCAGCAACCAAAATGGCGCGATTCAGAAACCAACACCGCGATTCAGAAACCAAAAATCCCGCGATTCAGAAACTAAATTTCCGCGCTTCAGAAACTACAATTCCGCGATTCAGAAACCAACATTCCGCGATTCAGCAACCAAAAAACAGCGATTCAGTAACCAAATGCACAGTAGGTTAGGTGGGGTGGTGGTATGGGGCTGGGTAATAACGTTCCTGGGTGATGG